ACAGAATTTCCGGAGGATGAGGCCCAGAAATCAGGATTTTAAAAAGATTCCCAGGTGATTCTCATGTGCAGCCAAGGTTGAGAACCACTGGTATAGACAAATTCATGGGCTCCCTAAAAATAAGTGGATCAGGTGTTTCCCACATTAACTGTAAATACCATGCACGTTGGATTAATTTAAACTGTTGGCCCATTGCTTTTACAACCTTCCAATTCCTTTATTATTTCAAAAAAAGGCACAGCTAGCACAGTTCTTGCTGCTGAAACAGGTAAACTAAAAAACAATAACAATTGACCTCTAGCCACAGACTGGAGTTTACAGGAGTTAGCACAAACAAGCAACTCATAGTTTACTCATTGCTTGAGCAGATACCTACTGAGTGAAGACTGGACTCATTGTGTTAGCCCACTCCTCATGAAAAATAGCCATGGGTATGATTTCTGATTGGGGGCTGTGTCATCAGAACCATACAACTGGGGGCCTAGGATATTTCTTAGGATTTCTCAGAAGAACTGTGAAGACACAAGGAGCTCAAATGAAAAACACACAACTTACTTTGGAGGGAGAAAGGAATAAAGTACCTAGAAATATTTCCCCTTTGGCTTCCATCTTTAAGGTGCCAGTATTTAAAAAGCTGCTTATTATATTATGATACTAATTATAACGTTAACTAATTATCGCATTCACAAAATCATGGAGATAAAGTGGCAAGAGGTGAGGCCTGGAAAGATAAGAAATAAGATTAAAGAGAGAGATAGGAGTCGGATCACAGAAGGCCTGGGAAGGGTGAGGGGAGCCACTGAACACTTAGTGGGAGAGTGACAGGATCAGAGCTGCTTTAGGTAGCTCACCCTGAAGCCTGAGTGAAGGATAGACTTCAGAAGCTAGGAGACAGGAAGAACGATTAGGAAAGAAATTATGAGGGCTTAGCATTTACAGAATGCATGACCAGTTTCCGCTTTCACATACATTATTTCATTTGGTTTTCATAACGGTTCTTTGCAGCCAGCAGGTTAATATTCACATCTTCATTTTGTAAGCTTACCTCAGTGCTTTGTGTTCATCATCCCTGACCTTTATAAAAAGCACTGTAAATTAGGTATTATTAGCCCACTTTACAGACGTGAATACTGAGGCGCAGGGTAAGGAGCAGCCCTAGATTCAGTGTCTAGTGCAGGACTCATTTTGAATAGCAGGTGGGTCCTGCTCCTCTAAAGAATGAGGCAAGACAGCTCTTCCAGGCAACCCTATGCCCTGAAAACACCTCTCAGGGCTCAGCATGGCAGTAAGACCGCAGTGCCCAGGAAACACTTCCGTCTCTGCAAGAGTCCCATGGAACAGAACAGTGTGGTGGTTCCTCAAAATAGTGACCATAGAATTACTATGTGATCCAGCAATTGCACCTCTGGGTATATACTCCGAAGAAGTAAAAGCAGGATCTCAAGCATATCTGTACACCGATGTTCATGGCAACATTATTCACAATACTCAAAAGATGGAAACAACTCAGGTGTCCATCAGTGGAGGAATGGGTAAACAAGATGTGGTATATCCATACAGTGAACTATTATTCAGCCGTAAAAAGGAAGGAAATTCTGACATCTGCTATAACAGATGAACTTGGGGGACATTCTGCTGAGTGAAATCAGCCAGTCACAAAAGGACACATTGTACAATTCCACTTTTGGTCACATTCATAGAAATGAAGAGTAGAATGGTGGTTGCCAGAGGCCAGGAGGCGAGGGGAATGGGAAGTTGCTGTTTAATGGGGAGATTTCAGTTTGGAAAGATGAAAAGAGATATGGAGATGGATGGTGGTGATTTTTGTACAATAATGCTTATGTACTTAATGCCTCTGAACTGTACATTTAGAAATGGTTAAAATTGTAAACTTTATGATATGAACAGATGACGAAGTCCAGGCGCATGTGATAAATTAGTGAGCAGGAAGACTAGGAAATTCACTGTGGAGAGTTTCAGTTTGGAAAGATGAAAAGAGATATGGAGATGGATGGTGGTGATTTTTGTACAATAATGCTTATGTACTTAATGCCTCTGAACTGTACATTTAGAAATGGTTAAAATTGTAAACTTTATGATATGAACAGATGACGAAGTCCAGGCGCATGTGATAAATTAGTGAGCAGGAAGACTAGGAAATTCACTGTGGGGAGCTGGCACGGCCATGGCATACTCATGCCAGCTCAGCCTGGTTCAGTGACCCTGAGTGGGGGCGATGAAAGGCTTAGAAAGGATAGACAAGAGAATGAAAGCTGGGTCTTTGGTGGGACGCTGCTCCTCCGATGAACAGCGCCCACAAGCCGTGTCTTTATTTAATTGTAGATGCCACGAGGCAAAGTAAGGACGTAATCAAGATGTTTACAACATTCTCGTTGGTTTCAATCCTACTCAACTACATGCACCTGAACTCTATCACTCAGG